CCCTATCCCCCTGTGTGCCTTGCCTCCCACGACTATTACGACACAACTCAAAAATTCACTAGAAAAGGTTGTTTCGATGCTAAAAAATCCTCAAATCGATCATGTCGACCTCAAGATATATAAACATGAGAAAACTGGATTTCTTGTCTCGAAAATAGTGCGTCATGTAAGGCATTTTCTAGACCGTTAATTTTCAAGTATTCATAAATATGCTCAATCTAAATTATTTTTCAAACTTTAAATTTTATAATTAGATATAGAAATAAAATTTCAGACCATCACAGAGATTTGTAGTGTTGAAACAAGGTCTTTTGACACCATTTGATCGTGCGCCTTACTTTGATTGTCTAGGGCTTCAGCCTTATAAAAACCACATCCCTTAAAACCCATAAAGGAAAATGTTTATTTCAGGGCGATGCCCATAACAATTAACTTGACGTGCACCTCAAAAATCCAATAGAAAAGGTTATTTCGATGCCCAAAAATCCTCAAATCGATCATCTTGACCTCAAGATGTATGGACATGAGAAAAAACGGATTCCCAGTCTTGAAAATAGTCCATCTTGTAATGTATTTTTAGACCGTTAAAAAAATCAACTAAGTCCTACTATGCGTGAGGTGCTTTGAGGCCGAGGATTACCAAGTGGCGCTCACAATACAAGTTTGAGACCAAACAGCTGAGAAAACAATGAGAACATGGTGATTTTTAGATACTAAGGTCAAAAGACACAAAGTTTTGCCTTTACGATCTTCGACATCCACTTTTCAATCTGAAATGGGGTTTTCATAAGCAAGAATTTAAAAATCAATCTATTGTTGAAACAAGAAAGCAAGTGAGATTGATAGGGCATAATTTCAAAAAACTTGGACTCCTCTATTTAATTGCAGTCCGAAAATAGTGAAGGGCGGTTTGACTTTTAACTACGGCTTATAAATTTCGGTCAGAGATTTCAAATTAAAATTAATTTGAAATAGTCCCAAATTCACTCATAAAAATAGGGTAGGCTCCGGTTAAGTTTATGTTTGATCAAACATAAGAAATCAATGGAGCTTCACAATTAGATTTTTTTTTTGGGTAGTTCAATAGGCAAGGGGTCCCCTATATGTAGTAGGAATGGAATACAACTCAAGATATCTTGTTGTGGTACCCCACCACCCTGATCACCTATCCTTGAGTCCATTCCATCACAATTAGTTCTTAAGACTCCCTAAAACAGTTTTGAGTTGGTTTGAAGTACCATTTCAACCAATCACAATCAATATAAGTTTGGTATTCCCTTTTAGAAATGTAATTTTCTTTGCAATCTATATAGTATACAGTATATGTTTGTTGTTTTGAGTACTTAGACCGTCTATCCACCATTTACACATATCAATGTCCTTATGGGCCAAAAAGTGGTAAAGCAGCTTCTACCATTAGTTTTGATAAGTACAGGCGGTGTATGGCCAGTTTGAGTACTTCTAACAATTTCACATGAAGTATTGTATACTGACCCTTGGCTTTAATGGCAAAAAGAGATTTTATCCATCTAATCTATTTTGTTGAATCAATTTCATTTATTTGTTCTTTTTTAACAGAAAATAAGTTTATCTTGGAGGATGCCCTCAGTGGTCATAGAGAGTAAGATTGACAAGAATGGCTAATCTATCATTTAGATGGTGCTTTTGATAAGAGACATTCCTTTTCTTTTCCCTTTTTTGGTAGTTTTAGGATTAGGGCAGTAGCAACTATGGGGCTGAGACAGAGATTCAAAGCCTCATGCTACTAAGCCATAGGAAAAACTTAAGGGTGTCGTGCAAAACAAGAAAAAAAGATAAAAGGATATAATTTTTATTTTCAATGACAGAAATGAAGGCCCTAGTACATTACCATATTTTCAAGTACTACATGTTTATCCCTACTCTAACCTCTGCACAATGTTCAAAAAGTTCAAAGTTTAATGAAGTGAGTTGTAAAGAAATCTCCAGTGCTGTTTTACTGATATACAGAAAAACATTCTCATGAGACATGTTATTATCCTTTTATTGCTCCTCCCATAAGCAATATCAACAGAGGGAGTTTTAATACATATTAGCAACATGTGCAATGCATCAACTGATAAGATTTTAGCTCACAATTGAATGTCCTAGACGAATTTTTACAACCTAGACGATGCCTCCATACAAGTTACCTCTTTAATTTGTCGTCCCCGTCTACTGGTCACTTGTTTGGATCTCGGTTGAGTACCGTGTAATGGGGCTATGTCCGACAAAGAGGGCGACATGTCCCAAGAGCTTATCCTTTCTCGAGAAGGTGGTGCCACATGAGCACTGCCACTTCAGATCACCACAATGCTTCTCGTGCGTCCTCAGATCAGATAGAACCGAGAACTTCTTTCTGTTACATCTATTGCAAACATACATTTTAGGGCAGTGGCTCCTCTTGTAGTGATTTTTCACACAAATCATGGACTTCAAAGGCTGGAATTTAACATGCTTCTTGTTCCACCTACAACCTTCTTGTGGGCAAGAGAACTTCCTAGGAATGTTCATGAGAGAAGGGGAGGGGTCCCTTTGCTCCCCCATGGATGAGGGCTTGGTTAAGGCAGCATTAGACTTGTATTCATCCCCATGAGCCCTCATATGCATCCTCAAATTGGCATCTCTCTTGAATCCCTTGCCACATATGTGACAATAGTGTGTGTACTCTGCCAATAAATCATCTGCATCTAACTCTATAATGGCATAGGAGGACAACATATCTCTAATCTCTCCTAATCTACCCCCTCCATCGCCCTCAGATCTGAACCCTCTAATCTTGTTCTTATTGTTACTAACTGCACCATTGCTACCATAAACACCACTGTCATAATTTCTACTAGAATTACTTATCTTACCACTATTGACACTATTATCAAGCTCTTCACCAATAATTCCATTATGGTTAGGGAATTCTCTAGGGGGAGGACCATGAGTTGGGTTCATGTGCATATCTACCTGGTTCATATTAGACATAGGGGGTTGTAATTCACCATTAGCAGGAACTTGGAAGATGGTGTTGGTGTTCAAGGCAAATTGTTGGCAAGCGAACATCATCGATGATGCGGTGGCCATGAGTTCCTGTATGGCAGTGCTCATGCCGACTGCAACGACTGGAGCCGCCTCCTGATCACCTGGCGAAAAGATGAGGTCGACTAAGGCCTGGACCTGGTGAACCTTCTCCTTTAAGATGCCTAAGTTGAATAGAAGGGTCTCAGGGTGGTGGTATTGGTGTTCCCTCCGTAATCCTGATGAAGTTCCATGGTCCTGAATGCTCCTTGGTAAACCTGTACATAGGCCTATATGAGAGGAAGATGGTGCTCCTTCCACCATAGACATGGGAGCACCCGCACAATTTTGATTGCCACCTCCTCCATTATTAACACCACCACCACCACGGTTGTGTTGTGGTGGTGGTGCAAAGTAAGATGGGGTGGTGGTGGTGGTGGTGTTTGAGATCATGTCCCTTCTGGTGAAGCTTCTTCTCCTTTCTCTCTATCTTCACCTTCTTGATCGATGGATGATCATGAATCACAATGTCACCATGGCTAAAAAGCTTACTCCATCCTCACTTTAAAATGTGGTATGAATGGATGACTTGGTCTCTCTTGGAACTCTAGCAGAGTGGGGGGTTTGGCTTCATGTGCGCATGACGCTTACTTGAGAGTTGAGAGGGGGGAGCGTTGAAGATTCACACAATTGGATCGGTACATTAATTTAAAATAAGGACTGAGTTATTGGACCCATTTGTTACTTTCGAAAGTTGGCTAATAAAATTACATAAAAAAAAAAAACCCTCTTTCTTTTCTCTCTCTCATATGCACACGAGTGGATCCAGCATTAAAAAAAAAGTTATTGGATCCGTTTGCTCCCTTTCGAGTTAAAATAACTCTTTTAGGGCGTAAGTAAGGGTGCCAATAGGCTGGGCCCGGTTAGCCTTGACCTTGGCCTGGCCTTTGTCCTTTAGATTTGGCTCAGGCCCAGCCTCAACCCTTTTAGAATCATACTAGGTTAAAAATAAATTAAAAAAAAAAAAGAAAAAAAGAAAGAGGGCCGGATCCAGCCAAAACGAGCAGGCTCTCAGGCTATGGTTTATAGCCCAAACTCTACTTTTTTAATGCCGATCGGACTAGGTTAGGATGCCCGGCCCATTCTCGGCCCTAAAACTGGTCTACAAAACTCTCTCTCTCTCTCTTGGTGATCGTGGTACAAACGAGAGAGAGAGAAGAAGTCAAAATCTTCGAAGAAGCATGAACCCCAGTTCCGACCTCCCCCGAAAGTTACCAAATCTTGACAGGTCAACTTTCAGGCAACAGTTTATAGCCCAGACTATACGATTTTTATGCGGATTGGGCGGGGCATCCCGGGCTAAGATGCCCGGCCCATTGCCAGCCCTAGATCCTAATACGAGAGAGAGAGAGAGGAAGTCAAAATCTTGGAAGAAGCATGCAACCCCAGTTCCGTCCTCCCCAGGAAGTGACCGAACTTTGACGCTCAACTCAAAGGAAAAAGAAAATAAAAAAATAAAAGGCATAGTTGAATTGCGATTCTTTTGAGGCATGACAAACAAGATTTGTTAATTCAGCCATGACTTGATTTATTCAATTGTGGGGGCCACCTTTTTAAACTCTCGATTGCCTTACCCTACGTCAAGGAGATGCATATGTAACACCATTCATTTCATTATAGAGAGGGAGCAATGAGAAGTCTTCATGTAGAGAGAGTGCGCAATAAGCAGGGCTCGCAATTCGGTCGGGTCGACTAGAATAGGTCCTGGTCTGGGTCTGGGTCCATGTTGTGGACCCTACAGGTTTGGTCCCTTTTCAAGTCATGTGGACCCAACTAAGATTAGGTCTGGTTCCAGGACTGGGTTGGACCCTATCGGGTTGGCTCTAAGTCTGATTGAGGTAGACTTGACCGACCCGACCTAGCGTAGTATAAAATTATAAAATATATATTAATACATTATAAAAAATATTTTGTTTATTTTTTTATTTTCTGAACTTAGGTCTAGTTCCAAGTCGGGTCGGATCTAGGTCCAAATGACTTGGACCCGACTTAGGTCCGGGTCCAACTCACTTGGACCCGACCCGAGCCTAGGTCCATGTGGAACTAATCGGGTCAGGTTCGCGTGCCGATCGACCCAGACTGACTCGACCCATTGCCACCCTGCCTATGAGATATCTTTCTTTGGAGAAAGAGAGAGAGAGAGAGAGAGAGAGCAATGAGAAATCATGTTTTGAAGAGAGAGAGACCTATCATGAATCATTTTTAAGGTTGTCTAAATTTGTTGTTCAGTTTAGTATTGAGTTGCTTATTCTTCTTCGTGTTTATGCATCCCTCCCATGACGTGGATAAGCACGCGTGTCTAACCATTTCAATTCAATTTAATCACTCTCTAAGCTCCATTATTATCCATCAATTCAATTTAATCGCTCTCTCTCATCCTATGTTAGGTGGAACCTCTATTTCTTAGCCATGGCATCTTCTTTTGCGGGTCCAAATTATGGATAGAGTAGTTGACTATTCTAACTTACATAGGCCAACAATGTGTATTTATTATGGAAGGGAGGAGAGTGGAATCAAATTAATTCATCACTAACTGCCACCAAATAGTTTCCTTATAATTAGCCACAATTAAAGTCTAGTATAGATAGCACCTTAATTTTCCATGATCTACTCTAGGGCTGGCAGTGCCCAGCTCGGCCTGGCCTGGCGTGATGGGCCCGGGCGCTAAAAAAGTAGGTCCTTGGCTACAAACTGCGGCCCGAGGGCCGGGTTAGGGCTAGCGTCGGCCCTGCCCTCTTTTTGTCATGTTCTCTTTTATTTTTTTCTCTTGTCTTTGGCCCGTGCCTAGGTTGCTCCTATGGGGCAAGGGTCAGGGCTGAGCAAAGGTTGGCCTGGACCGTTTCCACCCTCTCAAGTAAATAAAAAAATTCATGAATCTATTTTCAATGAAATAAAAAACTTCGATATATTCATTTGCAAATTAATTCTATTTTTGATGCTCCCGTGTTTTGTCTTTCATCTTTTCTTCTTTGTTTCAACATTCGAAGGTCAAGTCTCCTTACTTGACTATAAGGCTTGGAGTGGTTTTTATGGCTCATGAAGTGTCACACTTGTTCACAAATTACAATAGTAATCATGTCAAGTCACTCATCCGAACATCTATCTTATATGTGAAGGGAATCTATAAATGTAAGTGTCATTGCTTAGGGTAAGTTTTCAGGAGAAATAAAGTTGGAATGGAATACTTGGAGTCATTTTTTCTTACAACACTTCGAATTGAGAACAAGCATCTTGAATATAGAGAAAATTACGTATGGGGACAGTGCTTAATGAATACATTTTCTAGGTCAATTACTATGACCGTCCCTCTTTTCACCGCCTTTTTCTTTTTACACAACTGTCCTGCAATTACAACACCGGATGGGGGAAATACATATGTTTTCGAATGTTTTTTTATAACTATTTACTCCTGTGGGAGTATATTATGTATTTTCTCTCTCGACGAAAATCTATGCTAAGGATACTTTTTAGATCTCAAATTTTGGGGATATAAACTCTACAACCTATAAAATAATTTACACAGAAACAATTTTAGGAATAAAATCTCTATGTACTAAAAAAAATAATGCCTCTCTAATGTGCTTAAAAAATAATGCCTCAAGATTAAATAGAGACCGTCCAATTTTTTAATGGCTAGAGCTAAGCACCAAAGAATTCAACATTCAATTTTTTTCATCTAAAACTAATCATCTAGTGATTGCTTCATGGTTCACAAAATTTTAGACTAAAAATATAAATGTAGTTAGCTATTTTTACATGGGAAATAGATGCACAACGTGACCACATAAGCACACTATATGCAATATATAAAAAATATTTGAAAACATGTGTATTTCCCTCCTGCCCGGTGCTGTAATTGCCGAACAGGCCGGCAGCTGTGGAAAAAAAAGGGCCGCTGAAGGGCAAGGGGAGGGAGGGGTCACAGTAATTTTTGCAGAAAATGTACTCATTTGATAATAAATGGGTGGAAAATTGTTCATCTCTACACATTACCCGTAAGAGATGAAATACATAACAGTCTACACATTTAGTAGTATTCCAACTCAAGATCAGTCTTTTTCTTAGCATTGAAATTTAAATAATATAGGTAAGTTGTTAAATTGCTCATCTCTTATGTGTAATTTGATAAATTTGTCTTTTTTCTTTTCTCAAGTTTGTACCAATTCTTTTACTTAGCTTAGCAAGGGACAAGTCCAAGTAACTCGGCCAAGTCTTAGGACTCGGCTAAGTTTTCAAACGCTATTGTTAGGATATTTTAAGTTGATAAACTAGTTGATATTTATATAGTAGCTAGAGATCTTTGTACTATAAGTTTTCTTATTGAAAACCTTGAGAATATTTTTTTTCTTATTTTTAAAGAAAAGGTTACTTCTCAAGCCCTTTTTTTTTTTTCTTGGATATTTAATCTCTAGGTTGAAGAGTTATGTAATTTTAGGTTCCAAAAAATACTGCTAAATCAGATTTCACTCCAAAAAATACTGCTAAATCAGATTTCACCTGAGAAAGAATATCCATGGCATACTCCCACAAGAATGGCTAAGTGATATTAAATATCTCTACGTATGTGCATCTTCAGGGAGATTGTGTATAGGGTCTGGCATTAGGCCAGGCAACCAGGCCCAGCCCGATCTTAAAAAAAAAAGGGCCTAGATTACAAATGTGGCCTGTGGGCCAGGCGAAGGCCAACTATCGTGACGCAAGGACCGAGCCGGGCCGGCCAGGGCCATGGCCACAACAGGGTCGGCCATGTCTAGCCCAGTTTTTTTCCTATATGTTTTTTGAGTGTATTGGGCCCCGTCCCGCCCAGCCCAAATAGGGTCAGGGCTGGGCCTAAGCCTGGCCTTTTTGGCCCCTTCAAAGCTGGGCCAAGCTAAGGCCAGTCCTATAGGGATTAGGGCCAAGGTTGACTCGGCCTAGGCCCAACCCATTGGCAGCCCTAAATTTATATGCGCATCTATCGTTTGTGTGTTTGTGCGTTGGAGAAGTGTCATAACGGGAGCAAAATTCTCTAAGTATGGAGGGAATATAAAATATGAATGCATATAAACGTCAGTGCTTAAGAGAGAGCGGTGAACACAAGCAAAGAATGCGAGAAGATACAAAGTTATGGAATAAAAAGTTGAAAATCGAGTCTTGATTGTACAATGGATTTTAATTGTCTTTCTTCGCAAGAAATAAAACAAAAATTAACATCCATCACATAGAGAACAAGCCAAATAACAACCAAAAGTCGGCCAAACTGCATGAGCAACCCTGTCAATGATTTTTCTCTCTTGTTGTCACGCTTTAGATGTGACACCATGCATAATAGTTTTGAAACTTGGACACCATTTTTTAAAAAAAAAAAAACTTTTCTTCTTGAAATCTCATAAAAAAAAAATGCTTATTGCCATTTGAAATCTCACCTCT